AGCAGCTAGCAATCACTAGCTGGATATCTTGCAAATTGAAATGGGGGTGGAGGGGAGGGGGGGGTGATGGTTTGCTATCGTTAGTTAGGTGGACAAGACAAAGCACCCCGAGAAGAAGAAGAACAAGAAGAAAAGAAAAAAACACACTGATGTTATTTTCGTCGGTCTCGCTACTAAAATGTCCCGCTGTCACCCCCCAGCCCAAGAAGGCTCGGTCTTCAACGATGCTACACCCACTGTAAATCCATATCCAGCTCGATGTGTCCCAAGGATTTAAAAAAAAAAATTCGTATATTCCTCAAGTCTGCACCCCCTAGCAGTTATGGAAGACGTTCACAGCTTTGTTTTCTATGGCGAGAGTCACGGGGACGCGCAAAAAAAAAAAATCGCCCTGCTGTAGAGCTTCACAAGTAGGACGTGCACTGAAACGCTTCTGTGCGCTGAGAATGGTTTTCAATGGTTTCCCTTCAGCTGGAGAGCAATGCAGTCTATCATATATACACCTCCAGACTACAGCCGTGAGCCATGACGTCGCTTTTAAAAAATAATAATAATAAATGTAATTGTTAGACATTATCTTATTAATTCGCATTGTTATTAGTCGAGGAACGTGACTTTATACATGAGACGGACAAAATCCCCGACAGACTTTTTCCTCCCACATTAGATCATTTTATTTAATATTCCACATTTTCAACGGGTTGAGAAGAAACATTTTGTCAAAAAAAAAGATATTAATGCATACATAGGTCATGGATAAACTGGTCCAAAAATAATTTAGGTCTGCAAAGTCTCATCTTGTGATACAAATGAGTATTTGCAAATATGTGGCCAAGTGACCACTGTCACAGTAACAGTTTACTAAGTTTTGAACAATTGGTTGGTTTAAAAAAAAAAAAACAACAACAACACAAACATAAAGACTGTAACAGGGTATTTAAACTGAGCTCTTGCTCCAGGGTATGAATGCAAGTGACAGATGGACAATGCTGCATTACACACAAAAATACAAACACCAAGACAGCAAACTAAAACTAACCACAATGGTTTTATTTATTTTTTAAATAAACTAATTTTTATAAAAAAACATTGGAATTATTTTCGGCCCAACTTTGTTGTAGCGCCCCACTAGGCCAATCAGTGTATTTCTACTCAATCCAAAACTGGCTCTCATTCCCCTTTGTTGAATATAGCTCATTCAGGTATTTGAAAATTATGTATAAAATAAAAAAAAAACAATTGCAATCAAGTGATAACCAAATACATTAGGACCCGAAATATAAGCAGCAGATCTCTTGGGATTCATGTTTCTGAAATACATTGTCAAAGGGATGTTTGATATAATGGGCTGTAGAAAAAGTCACAGGAGTCAATAGAAATCAAGGAGAATCTTTCACTTCAGGCTGTTAGTGTTCATATAACATTTCTGGGTAAACTGATAATATTGAAATGACTTCACTGCTGCTCAGATGGACACATAAATGTATGGGCTTTATGAAGAACAACATATCTTTAAAAGAGTAACATTTTTTAAGAGGATGTATTCAACATGCAGGCCTGTTGTCAGCCCACACACCAGCTCTGTTCTACTCTGCCCATTCAAAAGCAACTTACTCTGTGACGTAATATTTTTTTTTTAAAAAGGCCTAATGTCAGAAACATGTGCTTCACTGTACTGGAGTGTGAGCCTGTAATGTGTGTGGCGTTAAGGATGATGCTGGTCAAAATGTCAGTTGATGTGGCAAAGGCCAGACATTAAAAGCCACCACTGAGTCCCAAATGGAAAGGAGGTCAGAACCCGTTCTGACTAGACATTTGTGAGTGTACAGTGCACCCAGAGGTGACCATGTGATGTAAAATGAAATGCATATTTAAACATAAAATAGGGAGATATGCAAATGTGTCTTTGAGTTTTCTGCATTGTTTGAGAATTTCTTTCAAAATCCTTTTTCTCACCTAACACGCTTTTAATGGCATCATCATAACATTTCCAACACATTGTACTGGTACCTTATAGGTCTCCAAAAGTAGTATTGGTGGCAGAGCTGTCGGTTAACAGCCCCCACACTTTGAGAATCATCTGCCAGTTTAGGTGGCAGACACTTCGACCACTTTCAAGAGGAAGCTTAAACTTCTATAAAAGTCTCAAGTGAGGGCTGACAAACCCCTGGTTTTGTACTATAAAACTATACTGCAGGGAGGCTTATCGCACCAAGCTCTTGTCACCTCTCCTTTTCCATGTTTTTGCAATTATTTCCCATTAATGGATGTCACTAACTTCATATCTTTAGTTGAGTTTTGTGCTGCCTAGTCTCACAGCTTCTTGCTGATCATTGTTGCAGCAGACTGCTTGACTCCCACTGCTTCAATTATGATTAATATCAATATCACACATATTAATATATTTTTTATTGATCATTTTTGTCATACACTTGATCTAGCTGTAACGTGTAAGATAAGAATGTTGTGAGTTTTGGTACTATATTACTTGAATTTCCCTCTGGATCAATAAAGTATCTATCTATCAATCTTTTATAGGAACACACATATTATATGGCTCATAAGTTTGACAAAAATCCAAATCTAAATGTCTTGATTTCTTAAGCTATAGGTGGTGCAGACAGGGCTTACTTCATCTCTCTGTTGTTTACTAATGTTCACAAAACAATACATACACATTGGCTGTTAAACTATCCATGCACACTCATGAGGTGGCTAAACATCATGTGTGATTCTTTTATTCTGACTGAAAAGTGATGATGACACTTATGACACATTTTTATAAACATTTATTTCTTGTCTTGCACTAATATGACTATAGCTGTAACACTGCAGAGCTTTTATTCTCTTATCCCGATTAAGTCTAAATCACAAGGCAAAGTGCAGAAATGCTTGTTCTGTTTTTCTACCCTCCACTGTTAAATATGTGTATTGATCTGAATCAAGTTTTAAACTGATTTACGGTCGGTGAAACAAATATTTTTGCCTGACAATAGAACCATTCCTATTACAGCTTGGCTGGTTGTGCCAGACGAGACATTGTCTTCCTGCAGATAAAGACAGCATTAGGGGTTTAGAAAGGGGTCAACGGGATTCCCTCAAGCTAAAGAGTGAGGGGGATTACCAAAGTCTGCAACGAGCTGCTTTTCTTACAGATTATGTACAATCTGTTCCCAGCAGCAGGACCACATATTCACTGGATACAGGGACAGCTTTAACCGAAGGTCTTATTCATTCAAAGGCATATGAGGGTCTTCTGAAGCTTCCATTAACCTCCACTCAGCTGTCCTGTGACACATAACTAGAGCTCCATGAGTTTTAATTAGTTTCCATACTTCTTTGCTGACCTAGGCATAATCCTGGCTAACCCACAGCCCACTGTTTGTATTAAAAAATAAAGCCAAACAACAGCTGATTTTTCTGTGGATATAAAGAGGGGTTTTCCCTACCTACTGAATAACTATGTAATTCATTTCAAACGTATTTAAGATATCACAGAACCCCCTTATGTATGTAAGTATACATGAAAAGAACACTTTGCTCTATTTCAAGAAATCTTTATCTTCATCCATATTAGTCACAACTTTATATGGTATAATAGTTTAAACATAAGCTTATAGTCTTAACCTAATACTGAAGGCTTGTAGTTGAACTATTATGGACACCAACTAGGTTTAGATGAGTTGACACATTAAATGTAAGTGCTGATGTAGAGATTGTTTAATATGCATTGATTGTGTTTTTTTTATTATAGACTTTAACTGATTGATGGAACTCAAGTATGCACTCAGCTCATTTTGATGTTAGACTTTTAACGCCCACTCACAGACGCTGCTTGTAATGTAAGTGTAAATAATGACTAGCCTACTGTTATTTGTGCACAAATAGGTTGTAGCATTCATTTTGTAAGTATGTGGTTGATTTCAGCTTTAAAATAGACTTTGCACAAATTACTTACTGCAATGTTACATAATGAAGAATCAGAAATAAGTCAATCACTTCTGAATTCTACTTAGTTTGCATAACACATGAATCCATTGCGCAAACCGTCAATAAAGTCATCAAATTAATGTTAAAATTGCAGAACATAACACATAAAAAGCTTACTAAATCAATTTATTGAGTAAAATTAAACACTTGTTCAAATAGTTTCCTCTAAGCCATGTAGTACACATGCTTGGCCACTAAGTGTCAGCCTTAACTTGAAGAAAGGATGACTTGCCGCACAGGGAGAGACGTGAACTACAGATAGACTTTCAGTGTAAGAGTATCAAAAAGTATTTATGCTCTTTAATAGTTAATCAAGCATCTTAACATGTTCTAATGTACAATTTATATACAATTATTTTGAGTATAAAAAGATAAAGTCATCACATCAGTAACTTTGATGTAATTGTAATATATTAAACATTGTAATATAGGCAAAAAGTTTGCGGTTTACCTTCTTCAAGAGAGCTGAGAACATTGTGCCGAGTGCTCACATACGAGCTGTTGCTCATCATGCACACAGACTGCTGGATGCTTCATTCTCTGATTACTACACTTCTGAAACCATGAAGATGGAAGACTAACTACACTGTCAGTATTGTTTTAGATCCGACCTCCAGATCATGTGATTGTGAGAACAACTTTCATGTACCACATCTGTTGGTCCAACAAGGTGGTTGACTCTGTGAAATACAATTTTAACATTGTGCTAATACAACTATATTTCCTCCCTAGTAGAATATCTGCAGCTTCCTTCATAATGCATTGGTGCCACAAAGACAGGCAGGTGCTTTGTTACATGCCTCCCTCTCAGCCAGGTATCATCGGTGACCTTAGATCACAACACCAAAATACCAGTGACATAAATGTCTTGTTTGCTGTGAAGAATAGTGCTGAAAGTAACCTTGCCATCTCTTCACAATGTTCTAACTGATGTGCTCCTTTTCCCTCAGAAAGTTGAGTTCATGCGTAAAAAAGCCAAAAGGAGAGGTACCATCACAGATAAAAGGTGCTTAATTATGATGCAAATGTTGACATCAGTGTTACTTTTTTATTTATTTTGTAGAGTCTCTAGCCTCGATTCCCCCTTCCTCTCAAGCAGAGTCTGGGGTGAGTGCCTGTTTGAAGCTTTCCCCCCCTGGGCTCCTGGGTTCTGTGGGATCCGGGTGTGCTGACACTGTTAGCACGCCTGATATGAGAGCCTGATCAAAGCTGGCTCATTCTGCCTGACCGATTTCCACAGGATTAAGGATTAGGGAGACAGGAAACTGGGAGAGGCACAGAGACAATCTGGGAAAGACAAAAAAAAAAAAGGGATAGTGAGTTTTATGGAGAGTGAAAGGGATGGAAACATGTTCAAGGAGACCGAGGGGTTAAAGGGCACTGGCAGAGAACATCTTGAGGAAAAGAACATAGAATAAGTCATTAAAGTGATTTAGAAAATAAATAAGTCAGTAAGTAAAACAAAAGGACATACCCAAAATGAACACTTTGAACAGGCTCTTCTAAAGCTTTTGGAGTGCATTAAAAGACAATCCCTCAGCTTAATTTGAGTAACCTCAGTTGCAAACTGTGTGGTTGATAATGTGCCATTGGAAGAGGAAGTTTTGGCCATGTTTACCATTTCAGATATTCCGATTCTTCTTCTTGACAACTGTGACAGGGAAGACCTACCAACCCAGGTCTGCTGGAGTATTCAGAGACTGAAAGTATTTTATTTAAATAGGTTAGGTAGATCATCACAGCTTTGCCTTTTGTAGGTGGTCAAAAATGTCAGATGAGTGCAGATATAGAGTACAACAACACAGGGACTTTCATCTGTGTATATCCCAGGTGTTCTGAATAGTTTTCATTTTTTTCGGCAGGGTCCTGATTGATCCAGCTGGAACCTCAGAATCACGCACGTCACCATAGGAGCTGATATATCGAAATTCTGAATAACTCATTAGGTATAAAGTGAGCAGGATAATGTTTATGTCTTGTCCGTTACAAATAATGTTGTGGAACAAGTTCTGTTGGTGGAGCAATAACAAAGACTAAATTAAAACAAATCGTACTTTAGTTGTCAGTTGTACAATTGTTGTATGAAAGCAATATCCCACTCAAGGATGTGCGTTTGTACTGAATATCAGCTAGGATGTGATTACCTTCAAATATACATGTGCTGATATACAGTTACTAGAGTGCGATTTTACTTATTGTCTGAGGTTTCATTTTTGAGACGTGTGCTGTGGACTAACAGTGAAATCATTGGACGCCTCATTTCTGTGTATTAAACAACAGCTAAGGGATTGCATACAATGACTGAGTGGGTGTTTTTTTAAGTAATTAACGATGTAGTTTTGGTGGAGTTAAAGGAATAGAGAGACACAGCAAAGGAGAAAGTGACCAAGAGAAAGAATGGGGACAATACACCTCCTGCCTGCCAGGCCGGATTAAAAGGACTGGATGAAAGGTCAGGGAGAGGCAAAGTTTTCACCTCCACCAGATGTGCACTTTCTCTGGCCTTTAGCAGATTAATTATCTCATAGTTCATGACTCCGGGGTTGGTGTCCAGGCAATTACATTACACTCCACACCCTGAGCAACCTGATCTGGGGATTTTTTTTGCTGCTGGACAGTGTGTCTTTGTGTTTGTGTATGTGTGTCTGTGTCATGGGGGGGGGGAGAGTCATTTTACACACTGGTGGCATCCATAATGACAAAGCGATAATTCACATCATGCTCTGGCACTTTGATCCCTGTGTTGCAGTAAAGCAAAACACCCTAATTTTAAAAAAAATTTCCCATAGATTACGAAGAAGCCGAAGAAACATGTAAAAAATGAGCCACCCATTCACACCCAGTGGCAGGCAGCCTCATTTGCCCAAGCTTCTATCAATTTCTCCTTATATCCAATAGCAATAAAGGAAGTGGACCCACTGTCACAGAAACAGTTGGCACGGAAACAGCACATTACACCATCGTCCAATCCCCCTCCCATTCCTTTGCCGTCATCCCTCCCCTCCCTTCCCCTCCCTTCCTCTGCCTTCCTCTCCTCTCCAGTCCCCTCCTCCTCCTTCCTCTCTCCCTGTCTTCTATGTCTTTATAGCCATCAATGAAATCACAACCGATCCTGCTGCTGGCCTGTCAGCAAGAATATAATACCTCAAAATAAAACTACTCAGAATCTTTCCTCTGTTCTGATTCCTTAATGGCTGATGTATATTTGATCATTTGTAATATAAAATAAAGATATACTACTGCAGATTCAACCCCATCAAAACCGTTTTTTTTACTCACCCTCTCTGTTACTCTCCTGATTTAATCCTGACTATTTCCCCCCTCTCTCTCTCTCTATCTCTCTCTTTCCCTGCTGACTCCTCCCTCTGTTTCTGTCCTGCACTCCCTCTCTCTGCCTCTGTCTCTGACACACTCGCACACACACGCACACATATATACACGCCCTCCACCCCCATCGCTGCAGTGTCTCAACTGCCTTGGAGCAAACAAGAGAGGATACAGAATACAGACGTTAATAAGAGAGAGAAAGAAGGCGAGATGTACGTGTGTGTTTTCCTGTGAAAATGAGGAAGATGTGAAGATGAAGCGACAGGACTAAAGGTGGATTGCACACAGCCTTTCTCTCCAGGGCTTGTCTGCAGTATCCTTTGTAAATGGATGCTGCCTTGTGAGCACGGTAAGTCTCTCAAAAAACAGACAGCCTTTTTGGTTATCACTGCAACTGGCCTGCTTTTAGCACAGAGCAAGATGCTGTTTGTTTCACCGCAGCCATTGTGAGGAGGACGAGTTTGTTTTCCTGATGGGAAAACAAACAGGGAAATGGGGAAGGTGATGTTCAGAGATGGCATACAGGCTGTCCAGTCCCCTCCTCCACCCTGCTAGCTGTGTGCCAGCGGACGCTGCTATCTTGTGCTTGCAATTTGACTCATCATCTCCCAAGAGCATCCTCCATTCTTAAAGACTGCTTTTATCTGAGCGCAGTGTTTAGTTCATGCAATTATGTATTAACTATGTAGGACAAGCGAAGGATGCATAGAAGATGTGTGTGTATGTTTGCGCGCATGTCTCTGTGCTCTGCCCAGGATAAGCTGTGAAATGGAATAGGGGAGGAAATGAGAGTAAACGCACCATCACACATGATCAGGTGTTCAGTACTTAGAGCTGGCTTTACTAGATGTTGGATGTGAATTTGCAGTAGGAGGTGTGTAAATCCTGTGGAATTTGACTCCGCGGGCACTGGAATAAGCGGGCAAATTGTGGCCTGACAGCAGCACAGAAGCACTGTAGGATTTGCCAGAAGAGCCTGCTGTCTGCTGTTCTCATCGGCATTCATTAATAATTATTTCAAGCTGGGGTTTGGTTTTTTTTTTTCTGTGTGGTTTTGAATGTAAATGTTATCGGTGAAAGTGGTTGAGAAGGGTGTGTTTGTTAGTCAGGCAGGCAGGCAAAACAGGATGATTTGTGACATTTCTGTCTCAACAATTTTATTTCTTCAACAGAGCGTTGCTGTTTTTTTTTTTTTTTTCAATGGGGGTTGGGAATGGTTTCGTAGCATCAGGAGAGCATGTGTATTTATGTGTAGTGTACGTGTGTGAGAGAGAGAGCCAGTGCAGGGAGGGGTCGAGGGGGTTGGGGGTTTAACAGTAGGGAGGCAGATGGGGCAGAGGGGCGGAGGTTGATGCAGCAGAGAGGCTAGAGAGAGAGAGAGAGAGAGAGAAATAAGAAATGAGAAGATTTGTAACAGAGTGGATGAAAGAGGGGTGATAATTTAATGTCTTTTCTGAGCATGTGACACAGGAAAAGGCTGGATGTGTCTGTGATAGTTCCACCAGCAGCAGCTTACATCGAGGCCCTTAGACATCTGTGAATTGAGGCAAAGATGGAGGATGAATTCCTCCATGCCTTTATCTTGTGAACACAGCAGATACAGAAATGGACAAGGAATATTAGGGTGATACTTTACTGAACCCAAGTGATGTTGCCTTACTTTCGCTGTGTCTGAAATTGTAAAATCTAGAATATTGATCACAGTCTTAGTGTAATGCTGAAAGACTGAACTGAGCCTTTATGGATGTTAAGTTAATGCTGTTTCTCAGATAAAAGGCTGTTATTAAGGAATTGACAAGGTAGCTTTTGCAACACACAAGTAATCTTTTCCAAGCATGTGTAACTCACAAACTTCTCAATTTCTAACACATCATTAAAGGAGTGGGAAAGCAATGCTGGTTGAAGTGCTCCAACTAACGATCATTTCTTTGTAACTTAGTAATCTGCAGAGTATTTCTACAATAAATTGAGCAGTCAAAAAGTCATAAAATGTCATAAAGTTGTTCAAAATGCTCAATAATATTACCAAAAGCCTATAGTTATACCTTAAAAATGTGTCTTTTTTCAATCTAACAATTCAAAATCACACACTTGTCATTACCAATATGACAAAAAGCAGCACAGACTTATATCAAATGTCCTTTTACTGGGAAATGTTTGATATTTAAACATGAAAAATCCAAACGGTTCATTGACAGTCAGAATGTTTGGTGTTTGATTTTGTTTGAACAAATAAACGCACAAAAGTGAGGGTTTTGCATACAGACTTATTTTTTTAAGATGTTTGTTTTGATTCTGTGTCTTTGCTGATTCTGCCCAGTTCGAAATTGCTTTACCCTCTGAAAATGTCTGAGCCAGTTAACCACCAAAAAGCAAACCAAGGTCATATTCAATCTAACAAAAACTCTTATCAACCCTGAAAGCTGAATTAATATCAAATAAATCTATTCATTGTGGCTGTAAAAAGTTCAGCCCTCCTCAGCAACCTGACAACAAATGTCAGAGGTCACTGATGACCTTGGCTTTAAGATGATGGATGATCATGTGCGGTGTGAAATATTGGAATACTGAAAAGGTTAATCACTTTCATACATATGGGTCTACATCAAGTTTCACATACAAACACACTGGAAAATGTCATCACATCCTTATTACAGACTGTTGAATAAAGAGAGAAATGAAAGACATTGGAATATTCTCATTATGTTTTGGTGTTTCTCTAAGACAAAAAAACAAAAGCATTAACGTTCATTCTTAAACACCTGTGAAAATCCTCACATCAATTCATTTAAAAAGGTTCTTCAGTGTTTATATTTTTGTTTTCTTGTCGTTTAAATGGTATACGGGCCCCTCATGTGACCTTTATGCATATAAAAACAAGAGCACTGGAATTTAAATGAAACCTATGCTGAGCTGACCTCCTTCCACCTCCTCTGTTACTTGCTACATCCACTTCACAGGGTGACATAATGGCAAGGGACAGCAGGGACAGAGGGGGTTTAAAGTGACAGAGGCTGCTGGGGGGGAAAGCTCTGGCACAGAGGAGGCCAATGTCACCATCCAGTGCACTTTGGGTCGTCTTTAAACTAGTAGGTGAGCGTGCCACCAACTCGGACAATTACATTCAGCTCTATTACATTTTAGTACCAAGGGAGGGGAGCATAGTCCCCCGTGCAGCCTGCTTAATAGTATGATTAATCTAATACAAGATTTATCTCTTGGTGAGGGTGGAACAGTATTACGGCATAATCTATACATTTATTTGTAGTTATGTGAATACGTTTTTTATACAATGCATGGTGAACTTCCTAGAGCAAGACAAGGAAATGTGTTTCTCCAAAGTTCAGATCTGTATGAAGCGTTATGTGCAGTCAGGGCATTGCTCTCATTCAGCTGGCTCAGCGCTCGTGTTTGTTTTGGGTCTCTAATCCTTGCCAGGTACTAGGACAAAGTGTCATCGCTGCACACACGGCTGTAAGACAGCTTCTTTCAGACAGGCGCTGATGTAGAGAGAGAGAGAGGTCTATACCTAACGGCGGAGCATTAGTGAGAAAAAGCTAAAAGTTGAATCAGACAAAATCTTAGGGCGGGGCTCAGTGAATGAGAAAGGATTAAGTTGGTGCTACATGAAATAACATCAGCTCAATCCATCCCTCTCTTTCGCTTTGCCCTCCTTTCTAATCTGTGCTTGTTGTCTCATACAGGGGCCTGTCTGTTTTCCCGAAGCTGGCGAGTGAGAGGGCCTTACTTCCAGCACTCAAATCTAAGAGGGCAGAGCAGAGGGGGACTAACAGAGCAACTTTGTATTCCATTGCACACACATAACAGAAGTCATATGACAACAAGGAGGTGGACAAGAGGGAGGAGGGGGAGGATGAGGGAGTGTAGGGCCTACTACACACTGATGAGGCATGTTAGTTTGTACTGAAAGAAATGAAAGCAGCGTGTCTGCCTTTTTGTCTGCGTTTATTATATTTTGTAATATCATTACAGACTTAACCCAAAATCAGAATTTGAAAGCCCTGAAATTAGCTTGTTTTGATAAAGACTGGCATGTCCAAAGTGTTGGTATGCCAGTAACTTGTATGACCCAAAGCTTCTACACTCTCTACTTTAAATGTTCACACAATTCTTTACAAAAAAAAATAAAATCATAGAAAACATTAACTCTGGTGCTGAGGTCTTCTAAAGGATCAGTTTGGTTTTCCCCGTTTCACATACGGTAAAAGTGCATTTGCCTGTTTGAAAAAGCAACATGTTCTCATATTTCTCCCCTCCCCACTCATAAAGACAATAAAGACATTTCATTGAGCTGGTATTGTTAGCTGGCATCTAGTGGGGCTTTAGAGCAGATAATATATGGTTTAAATAATGTATATATATATTTGGCTGTTTTGGGAAATGTGGTCATCATTTGGTGTAAATCTAGTAAACTCTCTGCCGGGGTAAACATGAAGGATAGCATCTACTCCACCCAACACTGTCTTTTTGGTTTGAATTTTATAGTGCTGCCTAAGTAGGTTAATGGCTTTTTTATTGTTACATTTGCTGCAATATTTTATTCCTTACTTTTCCCCTTCTCAAATTACAAACTGCAGATAGTGTCTTTGGAAATCTGAAATTGCCCATCACCCACAACTTCCCTCTATTGCAGACAAGGTATATCTTATATGATATTGAAATCAATGAGGTTTGAATGTTATTTCAGTCTATTTTGTCTATGAACGCATGAAATGTCTTTATGCACCTGCAAAAAAATATAAAACACAGAGATTTGAAGGCTCAAAGATACCTGTACTTATGTTGGTGTGTACACCAGTGCAGACATACCCAGGAGATCCCAGTGTCCACCTTGTACCATCCTCTCCCTTCACAACAGACAGCCTAGCAATAACTCAGCCTGTGCACAAACATGCCATTGTCATCGCAGGCTGGCCTTGTGACTCAGTGTGACCCAGCGGATTGGAGAAGGGGGAACACAGCCATTCAGATTAGGAGCACTAAACAGAGCATTATCACAAAACAGCATCAAACATACTGAGACTTCATCCCCCTCCAACCACCCCATCCCGACCCTTTAAACAGCCCCACTGTTTTGGGGGAGCAGAGAGGAGAACACAGCCCATCATTGTTTTCCATAATGAATGAGTAGTGTCCTCTCCAGTAGTGTGCAGCATTCAGGCATCTTTCTCCGCATTCAGCACAGCATGTCAGGAAGAGATAACACGAAATGTTGAACAAACTATTGGGAGAGTAAAATTAAGTATTTTAAACGAACATTATACTTCCTAAAGCAGTTATTTATGGGGGTTTTGTTGGTCAAAATGCTTGACCCACATCCAGGGACAG